ATTTTTTCTCTTTTATTACACCTAGCAAAATGTTTGATATAAATTGGGAAAATGATTTCTTTTTTATAGAAAACATGGACGGTGAGGCACAATGCGTCGTATGTTATAAAATTATATGTAGAAAAGCTTTATTTTTTTTGAAAAGGCATTATGAAACTTGCCATGGACCCATAAATGACCTTAGGGGACATGACAGAAAAGTAAAGTTGTTGCAATTAAAAGGTTAACCGATCAACACATTGGTGACTTATTGCGTATTAAGGAATATAAAGGAAACATTGATTTGGATAGATTAGTTGAACTTTAAATTAAGTTCAGTTAATATCTCGGTAATATCCCTTAAAAGTTCGAAATCGAATAGAAAGTCGTGATTTTCTTAATGATATTTCAGTAGTTTTATTTAATACTACTTTTTAAAAATACTACTACTTTTCTTAAATGAAAAACTCTTTCCCTTTATTCCATTTTTGTTTAAAATGCCCAAAAGTTCATGAGTTTTTCTCGTTGTAAAAAGTATTTGCAATAGAAAACAAATTTCAAAATTTTTCTCAGTGTACCACCATTTTGTTATAACGTGCAGTCATCTCTCTGCTGCTTAACGCACACAAATATACACATGGTAGTATGTGTTTGCCCATGACTGCTTTAGGGTTTAAATTTAGCTGTGACTGCCAATATTTATTGGTTTGTACATTAAATTTTGCGTTTGCTTATTATTGCCAATTGGCCAATTTATGGTTGTCAAATTGTATGCCGGTTGAAATTAATTTAAGTTTTTTTCATTTCCGTTTTTTTCATTTTTATTTTTTACTACTTTATAGGTGGGGTTGTATAATTTAGAAACTTTTTAATGTATCATATACATTGATGTCGAAGTTGTTGTTAAAAAAAAAAGAAATTGACATTTATTGATTTCTGCTGTAAATATAATTGGAAAATAAAAAGGTCAGTTTTTAAAGTTTTCTTGTTTGAGAAAATATAAAAGGTTGTTAGTCTTTGATTGGTTTTAGAATATTATATGTATTTGGGTTTGTTAAATATAAGAAAATAAGAAATTTTAACTTTTGTTTCTTCATAATTGGTAAATCACTGTGGTAACGTAAATAATTTAATTTTTAAAAGGACAAAAATCCGTTTCCATTTATCCAAGGATCAAATATAACTAACACAATATTAATAGAAGCAAATAAGAATAAATTTAACCCAATAATAAGTATTTGGTCTTCTCATCTAGGGAATTCCTGAGAAGTTATTTTTTGTTTTAAGCTAAATTTAGTTTTCTGAAACTGTAAATCTCTTCGCATTATGTAGCTGGAAATATTCTATGGATTTCAATCTAAAGATGAACAAGTTTTCTTGACCTTGATACTTGAAAACATCGTTCATTTCGATTTGAACTTCGGAGGCTTTTGGAAATATCATTTATATCTGATTTGCATTTCTGAATTTCCTTACCTCTAAAGCTAAAGTGCAGCTGTAGGAGAAACGTGGGAAAAAGTTAGCAGGAATCGCACTTTATTAGTTTTAGTTATAGAAGATCATAAAATTTCAGTGGAAATTAAAAGTGATCACAAATAAACTTAATTATTTTCTCTAGGTGAGCTTGTTCAGTCCATATAGCACAATTTTAAATCTGGCTAAGCGAAACTACTTCTGAGTCCCTGGTTCGTATACTGTGTAAGCAATTTTAAAAACAAAACAAGTTTTTAACTACTTATTTGTAAGCACTTATTTAAGTAGTTATGTATATGTAAGCGAGCGTGGTAAGTTCTTGCTCTTAACTCTTAGTTTAATTATTGGGTTGGCTAGTTTTTCGAATAAGGCAATAAAAACACACATTCTTTTGCCTGAATACCCTATTATGTAGTATTTATGTGTCTTAATTAAAAACATGAAAATAAATTAGGGATTTATTCATAGACACTTTGCTGATATATTGATATTTAATATATTTGTGTGAATTTATAAATAATGACCAAGTTTGCCAATAATTAGTTGATATGGCAAATTGTTCATTTAAATATTTGCTAAAATATGCCAAACGGTACGTATGAATTGAAATGAACGATATGTAGTTTCAATTTGCATCCAGCGTATTTTTCATTATGTACTTAGTATGTGTATAAATAAAAATCTGATTGCCAATTAGTTGTAAAAGTTTGTAGTCTGTTATCAAACAGACAGAATTTTAAAGGAATGTTATGGATGGTATGTTCGAAAAAATATTCCATCATTAATTGCCATCATTGTCATTGACGACCGCAGCCTATTTTTAAAGTGCACTGAAAACTAGAACTTTTAAATTGTTATCGTCTTGTAAGACCCACATTTCTGTGGTAAAAAGGCAAAAGTACATACATAAATTGTTTTTTATACTTTTCAGGAGAACGTTTTAAAGTTTTAAAATCCAATACAAAACTATAGTAAAATACATACTTTTACAAATTTCAATATTTTCAAAAGTTTTGATCTGATATTTTTGAGAAAATTTAATAGTTTTAATTATAAACAACAGTTATTGTAAAATATATATATATATCAAAGACAGTATAGAAGTAATAGCAAGGGACAATTGTATTCTCTTGTGATCCTCTCGCGCATTCAACAGACGATCGGAATACTTATCATTATATTTTGTTCAATATTTGACATTGATAGAAACAAGTAAAAACTATAGTCAAACATTGCCGACCCTACACATTACAAATTTAAACATCATAAATTAAAACTAAATTGAAAAATAATTTAAATTCAGTTTAAAAAATTAAGAAGATAAATGTCCCGAAAATAAAATTAAAGAATGGAGTGCAGCTTGCAGTGTTTAGCTGAAGAAACACTCCTGGATTTGCATGCATGCATAGGACTCGTTCCGTGGTTCCTGTGCTGATGATTGTAACACCCAAACATTTGTCCTACACTCACCTTAAAGTACACCAATCTGTTCACTGTTATCTGTTCATTTGTGTGTCCATGTGAACTTAGTGCACAAGCTACAGGTCTCAATTTTCGAGAAAATTATATGAAATTTGGCATACTATACTCTTCTCTTGGCCCAAGGATGAATTCTACTGAAAATATTTGAAATTTATTTCAGAGACTTGAAAATCGATCCACATTGGACAGTTCTAAATAAAGTCCATCTCAGAATATGACAGAGTGTTTTAATTGGGATAAGAATCCATCTTTAGCCTATAGTTATCCTACTTAGGGAAATACTTTTATCGAATATTTCGCAGCGTTTATTTGAATCTATTTATTGATTAAAACATTAATTAAAAAAAATAATAATTATTAAAAAGTTTACAGACCATATCCATGTTCCACTGTAATTCTAGTATATAATTGTTCTACTGTATTTCAAATATATACAAAATATTTCTCAATTTTCATTTGTTATTATTGGTATTTTTTATTTTTCTATTATTTGACATAAGAAGGCATATAATTTTAAACTCTCCCTAGTGCTTCTACCTTCTTATGGTTGTATCATGCCCTACACCATACAAGCACAGCGAGCTCTCAATTGAGCTCTCTGGTTTATTTTCCAACACATGTACGTAACTTCCAAACTAAGAGAATGAGAGCTTGAAAGTTTTTTGATGGAGTTACACATTAAGAAATCTCTGTTATTTGCCGATAGTTATTTTTGCATATGAGAATGTTTCATATTTAATATTTATTTTAATTTTAAAATATCTCAAGAAAAATTATCATTAAATACACAGAAAAAAATAATACATAACTGGAATGAATTTTGTAATAAATCGTATGAATCGAACATGACTTTTTTCCCAAACCATATTCATTCAAAATATTAAAAGTTCATAAATTGTATGAATTTGTACATGAATGATTTTTTTGTTTTTTACTCATTTTCTTTGATTTTCATAAAAAAATTTGCAATAAATAGCCATTACCTATTAATATCTTCTATTTTTTTTAGAAAATAATCACATATTTGTGAATTTCTATAATAAATAAATAAAACTATTGGAAAACAAAATATGATATAAAAAACATCAGCAAATATAGCTAAACATTCATTCTACAGAAGATTTTGCAAGTTCCGCGCATATTTCATTGTTTCCAATCTAAAAATCATAATGTAGGGCCTACACTTATATATTAACATACTAAAATGTAAACCTTTTGCGCACGCTACTTTTCTTTTGGTCCAATGATAACGGACATGGCTTAATCGACTCAGAAATGTTAGTTTTTCCAGGACTTACTGTGCGTATGCATCCTGAATTTCTTATAGATAATTTCTAGTCAAAAATAGATCTGTTCTATAACAGAAATGTTTTTACAATTTTTCAAATTTGTAATAATTTAAAAATCGCTCTAAGTTTCCATGAATTTTGCAATATTTGACAATTTAAAATGCCCCGATGATGACACCTAAAGTCAAAATGTTATTAAAAACTTTAATGAATTCATCAATATCTGCAGAGTAACTTTGTGCCTAAGTTAGGCATTTTAAAATTTATGGGCACCACCTGGGCGTGGCACCTCCTATATATCTCATATTTCTAGGAAACTATACGAATATATTGTTAGCCATAATTGACGAACTAGTAATGATAAAAATAATAATAAATAATAAACAATGATCAAGTTTATTTTTTATATACATAAGTATTAAGTTTATTAAATAGTTAACTAAAACAATTTTAACAAAATGAAAAATAAATTAAAGTTTACAGATTGCAATAAAAAAAATAATTATTCAATTGCTAGTTTTATTATTACTTAAAATATAATAGAAAAATTAACAATTTGTTAAAAGAAATAAAGCTTATACATATTCTAGAAAACTTTTTATTTCATTACTAAACAAAACTGTCAAAATTTAATTTTAAAGAGTTAAAGATGTAACAGATAATATTTGAAATGAAAATAGTTTTCACTTTGAAATTAGAGAATGTTTATATTGAAAATGTTCATAATTTTGGTCAATTATTTTATTGGCCTAAGAATTTAAATAATAACACCGTCCGACAAAAAGAGAAGTCCTTTAAAAAGGACACAGGATCACGAAATGAAAAACTAAAAACGCAGTTTTTCTACATTAAATTTATAGTTTCAGGCCTATATCATCTGGTTCGTGTCTAATTTTGAGTGTAATATGTTTTAAAGTTTCCTGAAATCAAATTATATTTTACATAAAAGCCATAAAATAGGCGACATATAAAGTATGAAAAGTTTAATAGAATATGAATAGGGATTTAATTAATTATAATCAACCAGGCCCATTCCATATAAAAAGCTTTTTGAAAATAAAATAAATTGATTAATTTCTTAAATAAGACTGATTGATTGGAATTTTTAATAAATAAAAATAATGTAAATATATGCTACAAATAAATTCAATTAGTAAAATATTTACCAGAAATTTAATTACACAAATAAATATTATGTACAGTTATATATTTTCCTTTTTTTTCAATAAATAAATAAATAAAAGTAAAATCTTAGACTAAGTAATAAATAGTAAATATTTTCTAAAAAAAATACAAAAGAAAAAAAAGCAATAAATAAATAAATTTCTATATTAATGACTTTACAAGGAATCGCTCGCACCGACACAAATCGAAAGGACACCATTCGTTAACATTCAAATTCAATTAAATTGAATTGTTCTCTACGTCTTGCGTTTTTTTTTTATTCTACTCTGTATTTATACTGCAATTTGGATACAAGGCTAAACAGTCCCTTTGATCTTGACCATCACGTGCCGCCTGTATGAGACGGAAAAATCTTACTACAGCTTGATTTGTATTCGTTATAGGTTGTAGTTCGTTAGTATCCCTGTAAATAAATATAAAGAAAATTGTAATTTTGTTATTTGTTTAAGAAAAAAAAAAATAGCCAAAAATTAATTAGACTAAAAGAGTAAAATTATAGAAGTGCTAATCTTCTAAAATATGTAATTAACTTGGTGAAAGAACAAACTGAGTAAAACTAAAGTAAAGGAGTAGAACATGTAAAAGTTTCTTAATGGTATTTCAATAGATTTCGTCTATTACTTAATTAGGCATTAAGATGTTTTTGGCACAATGTGCTTTAAGGTGGTTTATTACTTTTATTTTTGGAAACATTGGAAGACAAAACAAGTTGGTTTTATAAATAAGATTCATAACAACTACAAACTCTGTATTAGCTCTTATTCAGAAATATTTTTGATCTCCCTAACAAATAAAGTGATCGTCAAAATAATACAATCACCTATTTTTTCCTAAATAGTTTAATTTTAATATGTAGTTGTGAAAAATATTTTAACAAAATATATTTATTACGTACAATATTTTACCAACTACCCATGAGCAAAACAATATTTTTACTGATCTTAACTATAATTTTGATACTCACTTTTCTCATCATACCATTAAAAAAAATTGTTGAAAACATTTTCTTTTGATTCTAGATTTACCAGAAAAAATTAAAACTTGGTCATTACATTTCATTAAGAACTCTTTGATTTCCTTGGCAATATTGTATGTAATTAAATTTGTTCTGCACACATTGATTTGATTTTATTTTGCAGGCAAATGTATAAACATTAGTATTCCATTAAATAAATTTTATACTTATGTTGTTAAAAGGAAAATAAAAAAATATAAGTTTGTTGAAAGTGCCAGAAGCAGTTCGATTGTTATTAAAATACATATTTATATGTATATGGTACTAGCTATACCCAGTGTTCTTTGCTACCCTTAAATTTATTTTCATGGATGTTAAAGTTGTTCTTGCAAAATTTGAGCATTTTAGCTCTAATAGTTTTTCAAATATACGAATTTTTCTATTTAATTCATATGGGGGGTTCCAAGGCCCCTTGATAAAAGTCCGCCTATTTCCCCTAAAATGTTCAGATGAATATTAAAGTTTTTCGTGCAAAATTTTAAGGTTCTAGCTCTATTTTATTCATATGGGAGGAGCAACGCCACCCCCCTTGGTAATCCGCCAATTTTTTACACAAAATGTTTACATGGATGCTAAAGTTCTTCGGCAAAATTTGAAGGTTCTAACTCTAATAGTTTTCCAGATAAGCGAATTTTTGTATTTAATTTATATGGGGGGTGCCACGCCACCTACTGATAGCACGCCCCCTTTTTTCTTAAATAATCATTCAATTTGAGATTTGACTCTATCTATTATATTTTCTCAGATATACTTCATATGAAAGGTGCCACGCCCACTATAACCATTCCGCTCATTTTGTCCCAAAATATTCTTATGGATGTCAAAGTTGTCCATACAAAATTTGAGGACTCCAACTCTTGCAGTTTCTGAGATATGCGACTTTTAATACTTATTTTGAATGTGGGCGTGGCACGTCGTCCACTTGAAATTAGTTCCTATAGTTCCTTCCAGACATACAGGAAGACATGGTAAAAATTTCAGCAAATTCGGCCCAGCCGTTTAGCTGTCTATAAAGTCCAAACATACAAACACACATTCATTTTTATATATATATATATATGTATATAGATGGGGGATGCCACGCCCCCCATTTCTAGTCCTCCAATTTTTTCACCAAATAATCATATGGATGTCAAAATTGTCCATAAAAATTTGAGGACTCTAGTTGTACCATGTTCCGAGATATTCGACTTTTGAAGAAGTGGGCGTGGCACCCCTCCCACTTGCATTTTCAAAATAAAAAGTAGCCTATAGTTCCTTCCAGATATAGGGGAACATACACAGAAAATTCAAGAAGATCGCTTCAGTGCTTCAGTTTAGCCTCCTATAAAGGTACAAATAAACAAACATACATTGATTTTTATATACATATATTTATATGTAGATAGATGTACACACTTACATATGTACATAAATTAGAGATAAAACAAAATTCATGAATTGTGGCAAACGTTAACGTTATATTCTATATATTCTCAAACTGCATGCATTGGTATTATTTACTTTGCTAATTAGTTCTAGCCAACTTAGCTGCTAGTTAGTCCTAGCCAAAAGTTGTAGAAAGTCGACAGTCGACTAGACTTGAAGAATGTACATATCTCGTCGGATTGCAATCAAGAGCATTTATTTTGCCGAATTTGGTGTTTAAAAATATTATATCCCTTGGTGTTTTAAAAATATTACAATCAGTTTAAACTCACATAAATATGTAGTTTAAATCATTAACAAAACAACACGTGTCAAATAATTGACATCAAGGTATTATCTTGAAATATACGCTATAGTATTCAAAAATATCTTCATGGTTCATACCTTACCATTTTAAATTGGTTGGAAATTATTAACAGAAATCTTCAATATAAACGAAAGTTTTTTACGTCACTTTTACTAACAACGCCAATAAGATAGGTATTTAGTGATTGTTTATAGGGTTCTATAGTTGAAACGAAAAGTCGACTTTTCGACTTTTTGCATTTAGTTAAAAGTCGACTTTTCGACCTTTCGACTTTTTCCATTTTATGAAAAGTCGATTTTTCGACTTTTCGACCTTTTTCATTTATTTCAAAGTCGACTTTTAGACTTTTCGACTTCTAGTATTTTATAAATGGTCGACTTTTCGACTTTTTCCGACTTTTCGACTTTTTAATTTTTTACGACTTTTTGACTATTTTCGACTATTTTTTTACTTTTTTCGAGTTTTTCCGACTATTTTAGAGTTTTTGACCTCTTTTCCACTTTTTTAAAATTTTCGACTCTTTTCGACTTTTTTCGACTTTTTCCGACTTTTCGACTTTTTTCGACTTTTTTCGACTTTTCGACTTTTTTCGACTTATCGACTTTTTTCGACTTTTATTTACAAAGTCGACTTTTCGACTTTTTTCATAGACGATAGTCGAGTTATCGACTTTTTTGGAACAAAATAGTCGACTTGTTCGATTATTCGAAAGTCGATTTATAGAACCCTAATTGTTTATAACTGTGCCGCTTAAGCTAATTACAGTATGAATGTACATATGTATGAAAATCGTTTCCATAGATTTATCGAAAACAACATTTGTTCAAATTACGACCCTAATACAAACTAATTATTACCAACAATAACATTGTCATATTCTAAATATTTTTTTAATATCTAATATGTACCAGGACATGTTTTTGGTTAAAAATACCTTATGACGTAAAGACTTTTTGATGAAAGGTCTAAATTAGAAATAATGCCTTCTATTTTTCCCATTTTTTTATTTTATTTACGAAAAGCATGACCATAGAATTTTTTACCATTGCATTAAGAAAAGGAAATTGACCAAAAATCTAGTATAAAAAGTTATTCAGAAAAATAAGAAAGTGACTTCAGATGAAAACAAGTAAGAAATTAAAAGTGGTCATAGTAGACAATATGATACCGCAATGTGGTTGTAGAATGTATATGGGCAGTTTAGTGTCAAAGTAGGACATTTTGGCCATATAGGTTTTTTTTTGAAGTAAGTGTAACTTTTCACCTATTGGTCCTAGCAAAAGTTTAATGTTTCCAAAAAGTTACTGTTTCCAAAAAGATAAAAACATTAAATGAATTAAAGCGACCTTATATGGGATCTAATGTTTATTAATTTAGTACTGATCTTTGATAAGATAATATATATTGTCCATCTTGCGACCAAAGTTTACTCAGACGAAGAACAGACGGATGGACATCATGGTCCATCAAATCTGAAAATTCTTATTCTAAGCCGATTGGTATACTTTAAGATGGAGGCAGGACTTATGGTTGTAAGTGTTACAAACATCAGCATAATACTTATGAATTGATTACACAAAGTAATTAATTACAAGATTAATTACAATTACTTGTGATGTGTAATTGAACAATAACCAATTACAATTACTTGTAATTGAAATTTTTCCAATTACAATTAATTGTAATGTGTAATTGACAAATAACTAATTACAATTATTTGTAATTGTAATTGGCAAAACTTCAATTACAATTACAAGTAATTGTAATTGGCAAAACTTCAATTACAATTAAAAATAATTGTAATTGGCAAAACTTCAATTACAATTACTTCAAATGTAATTGTAATTGAAAATGTAGTCATTACCCCCCAAGCCTGTATATTAACCACAGAAACCTATAAATACTAAAGATTGGTTAACTTAAGAATATGTTGAATGGAAAAAATCACTTTTTTATGGCTGCAACAAGTATGAGATAAAGTTTAAAAAAAGGTTACTAATTTTTTATGAAAAATTTAATTTGGAAAAAAATTTTAAATGGAATTTTTTTTTTTGTTACATAAAAAAAAGACAATTAAAATATTAAGATTATTGGCCTTTTTTTCCTTATTTTTACATAAATTTATTGCAAAAAACAAGTAGGAAGGAATAGTCGGGCACGGCCGACTATATGATACCCTACACCATTAGTATATTTTGAAAATTATTTATTTTAAATAAAGAAATTTTATGTTGAATTTTTCCTTAATTCCAATGTATTTAAGCAATTTATTGATGAAAAACTAAATTTCTAAGAGAGGCTTTATATGGGAGTTAGGGTCAAATATAGGCCGATCCTCAACAAATTGAGAAGAGGGATGTATTTTATATAAAGGTTAGTTATGCTGAATTTCATCGCTATACTAATGGTCATAAGTAAATTTTTGGACGTTTAAGTTATTTTTTAATGGGGGGTTTGTGTGGTGGCTAGGGTCAAACGACGGCCGATCATTATAAAAATTTAAACGGTCATTTACGCCTATATAAAACTAAGTTGTGGCAATTTTTAGTGAGATAGTAGTATACTTGACGTAGTTATGAGTTACATAGACAGCCAGCCGGACAGACAGACAGACGGACATGTCTTAATCGACTCAGAAAGTGATTCTGAGTTGATCGTTTACTTTAAGGTGGGTGTAGGACCAATATTTTTATGCATGACAAACATAAGCACACTATAGTGGTGTATGGTATAAAAATATGCCTAAAAAAATTAAAATTGGTCTTTGTACTTACAATTTAATATTCAGTTAATTTTATATCAAGAAACTCTTATTACAAATTTATTGTCATTGCGTTTGCATTGTTTATTGTTACTTTTAACAGTTTTTCTAATTTTTATTCTACATGCTCTAATAGGCATTTGTTTGTCATACAACTTCAACTACGTGTCAAGTAGAAATTATTGTATTACATTTTAAAAGCTTTAACAAAATGACAAAGCTCTTTGTTGTGAATCTTGTTGTTTGTTCCATAATACATTAGCGCTGGAATTTTGAATGTTCATTCCTGAAACTTATTTATTATGTTCTTTGAATTTCTTTGTTAAATGATTTTTAGAACAATAACCCTTTTCAATAAGGATTAGGAGAAAAGTATAGTTGTTATGTTTCCAGCAAAAATTCGGTAATACTTATACAACAACTTACTTTTCAGTGACTACTATATAGTGTCGACATTACTTTTAAGTACTCTTATAATGTCTAACAAATCCATCAAATAAGTAAATACTTTAATAAGAGTTTTATTGTTCTTTTTTCACATTTTAATTATCGTTTTTTTACTTACTAACGACTAAAGAACAAGAGTACCAGTTCTGTGTGAGAAACAACTTTTTTACTCCCTATTTGTAAGTACTTATTTAAGTAGTTATTTGTAAGCGAACGTTGTAAGTACTTGCCTCCTATATCATCACCTTGTTAAAGTAACGAGTTAAAATTACTTACCGACTCAATTCCGCCGAAACAAAATTACTATGCGGACTGTAGCGTTGTGGATCCTTGTACATACTACAAACTAAACGTTCTTTACATAAATCATCCGTGACACCCAATTGTTCAACAATCTTATCGATTTTAAGTAAAATTGGACTATAAAATGGATCATAATTCAATGGCATTAAGGGCTGTTATAGTGAAAGAGAGAGGGTTATTAAAGTTAAACTTAACCTTTTTTTGTGTAAATTACATACCTGACCATCTTGTACAAATGGTTGTTTATCTAAAATTTGCTGCTGCTGTTGTACCAAACGTTGTTCAGCTTGTATTCTTATGGCTTCCTTTAATTGAGCAGAAAGTTCCGGCTAAAAGAACAAACAAAGAAACGGAACAGAAAAAGTTAACTAAGAAAAGGATATACTTGTACATATTTCTTTTAGTGATTTGTTTGAAAACAGAACTTTTCATTGTTTGTTATTTTTCTTTTCTTTTGTATTTCGTTAGTATTAAGTATTTATAATATTTAATATTTAAATAATCTTTGTGTATAGTATGCTTCAGTAAATAAAAATCATTATTGTTGCTCTTTTTATTTCGCACAACTGAGTAAAAAGCTAGATAATTTAAGATGCTTTGGAAGAAAATGTTTATAGAAATCATGGTGCAATCAAGTAGAAAATATTATATGAGTATTTTTAGATATATTTTAATGTGTCGTTTCATTTAATGGAGTCGATGAAGTCGATTAAATGATGTGTAAAGCGGGAATGTTTTTTTTTTATATTCATAAACGTTTATAACGAAATGTAGTTGCCAGAAGTGTTAGAACAATTTAACTTTATATACTTTAACAGACATAAAGTTGCAAGTTTGAGTATTTACATTGTTTGCCTAATTATAGAGAAAGAATGAAAGGAAATTTTTGGGGTCTCTTATTACATCATGGTAATTATTACACACATAGATAATATGGAATTTTGTACAATTTGGCTCACTTCATATTGTGCCAATAAGTTTCTTAATTTGAAGGGAACTATAGATTCCTTAAATTTTTATTTAAAAAAATATAAATTAATTTTAGTAAGAAATGCCACGCCCACTATTCAGAATCATATCTTAAGGATATTAAAAACTCTTTTGATGTAATCAAAAAATGTAACAGGTGTTGATAGGGTAATTATTAGAGTCCGACCGAACTCAAAATTTCGTTCGGTACCGAACATCGAACCCGAACTTCGGTAAATTTGAAAGTTCGGCCGAACCCGAACTTTGTTCGGTTTTCAAAGTTCGGTGAACACGAACTTTTTTTAATGAAAAATAATACTTTTTTATTTTTGGTTTTTAAACGATTTATTGACAATGATATAATTATCTGTAAGAGCACGCTGAGAAAAAACATGGTTTTGATAACCATGTTCTAAGAGCAACATATTATGATTAAAATTATGATTGTAGTCTAAACATATTATCGTTATTGTAACAATTTTAAAATATCATAGGATTAAATACCGTCAAAATATTTCATCATGATATTTTTGTATTTTTCATAATATTGTTATACATGATATTATGATCCAATGTGATCAAAATTCCGTTTTAAATATGTATCGAAATCAAAAAGAATTTTAATGAATCAGTAAAATTAGTTTTTAAAAAAATAAAAATATATATACAATACTTAACACAATTCGCAAATTTCAATTTGCCAATTTATATGAAATTTTGGTTCATAAAAAAATTTAATTATAATTTCATAAAAATACTAGTATTTTTAAGCCTGTTATGAACGTTAGTAATTTTCTAAAGCGAACATTATATGGATGCCATGTCTAATGTAAACCGATTTTGTCCATTTTGAATACCAATCAAACTGCAACAATAGTTTAGGTCCTATCGTTTTTTCAAGAGACTGACTGAGTGACAGACATGTCTAGATCTTTTGAGAATAAGAACCTAGAAAATTTCGATGTTACAAATGAAATCAAAGATTAATATTCGAAACTAGATAATTCAAATTAAATTTTGATGATATAAAAATATGATAAAACAAAATTTTATAAAAAGTTCGGTGTTCGGTCAAAATTTCGCCGAACACAATTTTATTACTATTACAGCCAAATTTATTTATTTATGATGCGGTGTGTTACTTACGGATTGAAATCGATATAGTACATCATTTTTAATGGTGGAAACAAAAACTGGACTATGGTCTTGACTTAAGAAGTTTAATATGTATATCAAAAATTAGTAGAAATACTCACACATCAAAACGTCGCAGCAAATATTTCGTAATCTACACCCAGAATTTGAAAAATAATACTACATTCACATGCATGAAATAACATGTTCATAAAATTAAAACGCCGAGATCTCTCTTTTTCACACACGTGTTGTAAAACAACATGAAAATATAAATAATAATAAATGCTTTAAAATATTGACATATTGTGTTGAAAGGCTCATAAATAAATTATGATTGACAGTGACTTTGACACTTTATAAAGACATGTATTTGATGTTTTCCAGCAAATCAAATAAAATATTTTAATGATTTAAATGAACAAAAAAAACATTACGAAATGTATTCATGCTTAACGATAGAACAGTGGTGATCAATGTTTGCATATGCCACACTTTACCAAATATAAGTATATTTATACCTTACACCACTTTAGTGGGGAGGGTATATTGGGTTTGTGCTGATATTGTTAACGCACAATAATATTGGTCCTGTACCATACCTTAAAGTATACCAATCGGCTTAGAATTATTTTCGGAGTCGGTTTAGCTATGTCCGTCCGTCCATGTAAACCTTGTAATCAAATTACAGGTCGCAATTTTCAATGTCGCAAAATTCAATGAAATTTGGTACATAATATTCTATGGTACGAGGGATGAATAGGCATGGTTAAGATCGGTGCATTATTTCACCTAGCACCCATACAACTGAACCCCCAAATAGGGCTTGTAAACCTTGAAATCAAACTACAGGTCTCAATTTTGGAGATAATTCAATGAAATGTTGTGCCTGATATTCTATGGTACCAGGGACGAAGCGTATTGAAATGGTTAATATCGGTCCATTATTTCACCTAGCCCCCATACAACTGAACCCGCCGAATAGGCCTTTTAAGTTCATAATTATGTTTAATATACTCCTATCTCAACAAAAAGCTGTAAAACCGAGTTCTATACTAGCCTTAATGACCCTCATGAATGTTATAATTATAGGGCCTAATTTGAGCCTAGCCCCTATAAAGTGCCCCCCTTCAAAATTTGACTTAAATGTCCACAATTTTATTCAACAATAAATGGCTTAAGTATATCTGAGACAAGATACAATTCAACTTAAATGCTTTATTATGAAAACTAAATCACATTTTATTTTTGTATCAGGTGTAGGGTATTATATGGTCCGCCTCGCACGACTGTAATTTCTTACTTGTTTTAAAGTTAAATTTATGTTTTATAATAATGCACTTATATCGAATTTTACTATAATTTAGATATACATAGGTACATATTTAAGAAATTTATTAATGAATAACTGATTTCCTGGAATAGGAGGAGATATATAGGTGCAAGAGTTATGACAGATCCTCATAAATATTATATTCCTAAAATTCAGGGCTAGATGAAAGGTTGGACCGATTTCAACCAAAATAATTATGATTCGTCCTTGGTCTAATAATTGTAACAAATTTCATTGAATTATCTGTAGTTTTATTGCGAGGATCGACCGACACGAAAAGTTGTAAAAAATAGATTAAAAGCACATTACAGTAACATTACATTTTTAACAAACATTGTAAGAAAAAAATAAATAAATCATTTTGTTACACTGTTCAAAGGTTTAGTATGTATGTAATTTTCATCACCAGCGCTATCATTATTATCAACAACTTTGCAAGCATCAAGTGAATGAGTGACACACTTTCGTTGTTGCGAGTACACAGGCAACGTGTTCAACATGACTGAACAAAACAAGTAATTGAAAATATCGCACACAATAATATTGCATACAACATATTCATACAAATTTAACATTAATTCCAGCAATGTTAAAAAAAATTGTTCATTTTGTTTACAACATGAAATGTGCCTCTAGAAATGCCAAATCATTACATAAAGGTAGTGGGACCTAAAAGCCAACGATAACAATAACGTTTGTGGTTTGTTTTATGCCATTTACCACTCAATTGTTAGTAACAGACTATTAACAAAAAAATAGTATAAAAATGTAAACAAATCACATTTTTTTCGCAATAGTAGATTTGCAACATTGAATTTTCATTTATCAAGTTCAAAAGCCAACATAAGGAATCTTTTGTGTTTTTAAACATTTCTGCTCCAATTAAAAATTTTCCTTTGTGACACATCGAACAATGGCTGATTTTCCCATTTGTGTGTGGCAGAAAAAGTGTTGAAAATTTTCTTAAATTTAACGATTGTGAATGCATGGCACTTAAACATGTACCCAACATGTTCATTAAATACTTAAACAAAAGTGCATTTTTAGTACCAGCAATTCAACAAACCAGCAAAGTGCATGACTTAAACGTTGATGTTTAATTAATGGGCAATTTCGTGTCAAGTGACTCAACTTAAAAAATCGATTTGAATTAAATTTGCACCAGGCTGTATTTATAAAAACTTATTTTTGGTTTATTAAACAATTTTAGGCAAAATTCAGGAAAATCGTATTTATAAACGTGAAATAGCTTAAAACACCTTCAATAAACCATTGACAATTAGAAGAATTTTATTGTGGGCTCGACCCTTCTTTAAGCCAACAATAAGTTGATTTTTAATAATATTTTTCTCAGATAAAGATTTTTCCGGTAATTTTAGGTTGATTGCGAAAACTAATTATGGTTTCTTTTAAAATAAAATCTAAAAATTCTAATTTTAACGTTTACAAATTTGTAAATAAAATCCCAGAAAATTTTTAAACGATTATATTTTGAGGAAAAAACTCGAATCTAGGCATTATTGGATTAATGCATAAATATTTGACAATATTCCAATTGTCCAGCACTATTTTTAGGCAATTTGGAAATGCCCGTCTGTCAACCAAATGATGGACAAAATCATTTGATTTGGCTTTTTCAAAGTTTGTTGGTTAAATATAATGCCATAAATTAATTAACCATGTAAATTATATTGATTAGTGTTATACTAATGCAAAATATATTCGCCGGCATTAAAATTAGTCAAATATCAATGAAATTTATCAATATTTGCAAAAATTTATCAAAAATTACAAGGAAAATAAGTAAAAATAAGAAAATGTGTCATAGTGATGTATATTTTGTCGCAAAATATCCGTTATTAGGATACTTTTAATAATAATTAGAAATTATATGTTATATTTATACATCTGAACTAAATAGACATTTATTAAAGCCATATATATATATATATATATATTTATTTTTCTTAAAAGTTTGTTTTTATTGTCAAAAATCTATTATAAACAAAAATCTGAAATTAAGAAAAACGAATATTTTATCCTAATTGTACGCAACACTAACACATAAAATGACAGCGATATTGTACAGTGCTGCCAACTTAAACATAAATCAGCACAATAGTTAATATACGTTTATTATTTGTTTATGAATATCACAATTTTATTAATGGTTTTTAAGGCTAAAGTGTGCTTTAACTATTGAGTGCATTAAAAGCAAAATAAGATTTTTTTATAAATACAAGCGTAATACTATTGGATAGTAGGCCAACAACAAATTTTCAGCTCTATCAGTCAAGCACTGTCTGGAGATGGAGTCAAAGTTGGACATTTTGGTCATACAGGGTTTTTTTCATATGAGTATAACTTTTCACCTGTTGGTCCTAGCAAAAGTTGTTCAAAGTACTTTAGGTAGTAGATATTTCTTCAATCTGTTCAATTTTTTCTATTTTTATTTTGCTCAAAATAAAGCTTATAAGCTTATTTCTTTTAAGGACTTTATGGTCGCCTAAAGGAATGCGAGTCGGATGAATAAGAAGTTTGCTGGTTTGAATGGTGATGAATGTAACGTATCTTATATAAGTGATACCATTGAATTTTCCTTCCTTGTCCGAGTATGTTCAGGGTTTACTCTGTTCATACCAGATTCACTACAGTGGACTGCAGTGTGTTTTCAGTTTTTTTTTTATGGATTCGGGTTATTTAGGTGATGTTGGCGCCTCAACACAGAGGCAATCCCATCAGCGTGTTTGTAAACGGGGCAGTAATAGTCATAGATTACATAGCTCGAATACTTGAGCAGAGTGGTTGTACATATGTACATAATTTACATAATATGACGTTAATAAATTAAATATTTAATTAGAGTAAATAAATAACGTTTAAAATGTTAAATTAATTTAGATTTTTTTAAAATCTCTATACAAATACAAAAATAAAACTACAGACATTTGCAATATGTTTTAATTTATTCTAAATATACTCAAACAAAAGTCACTTGAAATTTTATTTGAATATACAAGTGCAACGTTATTGTTGAATTTCTTAAGAAAACACCAACTTTTCCAATTAAATAAGCCACACGTTGGCAAATTTTTAAGCTTTGGCACAAATCACTTTGCAACTTTGCCAATATTTTGAAAGTGAAAATTTTTTTAATGCTTACTTTGATGGTTCATTCAACTTTCAATGTCGATGTGTATGCAGCTTCATGTTTTGGTTATTTTTATAGAACACTTTAATCCACTCATGTCGTCTTATTTAATGTAAACATTAAGGTATTTTTTTATTTATTTTTTCTCAACAATACCTACAGACATACTCGTAATACTGTGAAAAATAAACAAACAAGTCGCAGTTCACTTAAACCCAGGATTTTTTGGCTACTTATTTTAGGCAAACATGAGGCTTTATACAAAAATTATAAAAGGATTTATTGAACAAAAACGAACAAGTTTAATAGGAATTGAAAAAAGGTCAATGAAATTTTTATGTTCAAATTGATTTTCTTAGAATTCATATACAAATTACTGTTTTTCGTTCTTCAAAAAGTATTTGTTTTGACGTTGCAATATTGAACCAATACTTTGAAGATGTTTTTGGTGCGTATAAGTTATAATTAGTTTACGACTTGTCAATAAATAATAATCATACGTAATGAAGTACCAAAAAACACCATTGTCCTTTGAGAATTTTTGATAAGTCGTAAATGAATAATGTTGTTTCCTAATGGAAGTTTTATATGTACATATTAAAATCGAACTGAACTAGAACTGAACTAGAACTGAACTAGAACTGAACTAGAACTGAACTAGAACTGAACTAAAACTGAACTAGATCTGAACTAGATCTGAACTAGAACTGAACTAGAACTGAACTAGAACTGAACTAGAACTGAACTAGAACTGAACTAAACTGAACTAGAACTGAACTAGAACTGAACTAGAACTGAACTAGAACTGAACTAGAACAGAACTAGAACTAGAACTAGAACTGAACTAGAACTGAACTAAAACTGAACTAGAACTGAACTAGAACTGAACTAGAACTGAACTAGAACTGAACTAGAACTGAACTAGAACTGAACTAGAACTGAACTAGAACTGAACTAGAACTGAACTAGAACTGAACTAGAACTGAACTAGAACTGAACTAGAACTGAACTAGAACTGAACTAGAACTGAACTAGAACTGAACTAGAACTGAACTAGAACTGAACTAGAACTGAACTAGAACTGAACTAGAACTGAACTAGAACTGAACTAGAACTGAACTAGAACTGAACTAGAACTGAACTAGAACTGAACTAGAACTGAACTAGAACTGAACTAGAACTGAACTAGAACTGAACTAGAACTGAACTAGAACTGAACTAGAACTGAACTAGAACTGAACTAGAACTGAACTAGAACTGAACTAGACTGCACTAGAACTTGAACTAGACCTGAACTAGAACTGAACTTAGAACTGAACTAGAAACTGAACTAGAAACTAGAACTGAACTAGAAACTGAACTAGAACTGAACTAGAACTGAACTAAAACTGAACTAGAATGAAACTAGAATGAACTAGAACTGAACTAGAACTGAACTAGAACTGAACTAGAACTGAACTATAAACTGAACTAGAAATGAACTAGAACTGAACTAGAACTGAATTAGAACTGAAACTAGAACTGAACTAGAACTGAACTAGAACTGAACTAGAACTGAACTAGAACTGAACTAAAACTGAACTAGAAACTGCACTAGACTGAACTAGAACTGAACTAGAACTGAACTAGAACTGAACTAGAACTGCACTAGAACGGAACTAGAACTGAACTAGGAACTGAACTAGAACTGAACTACGACTATGAAACTAGGAACTGAACTAGAAACTGAACTAGAACTGAACTAGAACTGAAACTAGAACTGAACTAGAACTGAACTAGAACTGAACTAGAACTGAACTAGAACTGAACTAGAACTGAACTAGAACTGAACTAGAACTGAACTAGAACTGAACTAGAACTGAACTAGAACTGAACTAGAACTGAACTAGAACTGAACTAGAACTGAACTAGAACTGAACTAGAACTGAACTAGAACTGAACTAGAACTGAACTAGAACTGAACTAGAACTGAACTAGAACTGAACTAGAACTGAACTAGAACTGAACTAGAACTGAACTAGAACTGAACTAGAACTGAACTAGAACTGAACTAGAACTGAACTAGAACTGATCTTGAACTGTATTATAGTATACGAACATACAGATAGACAAGGTTTAATCGAGTCTCACTATCTCTAAGGATTGCAAAGCTTTTTGTGGAAATTACTAGCAGAACTTATGTGAACGTTGTTAATAAAGCAACAAAAAAGTTATATATTGTTTAATTGTGTTATTTTTAATGACTTAATTTAAAGATTTAAGAGTTCTATGTTTTTGCATTCTTGCATATGTTTGTAAAAGATTCTTAAGAAATTTATAATTAAACAAATAAAAATAAAGCGAAAACTCACCGTAAGTTGCTGTTGGGGTTGCAGGCTTTGTCCACCTGCCGCCTGTTGCTGTTCTTGATTTCGCGTTGGATCATATTGTGCCGCTATTTGGGCTGCCTGCGTTAATGCCGCCTGTATTTGTTGTGGCTTTAATTGATTTTGCAAAGGAGGTAGTGAAGGTTGTCTCGCGGGTGTATAGACAGGACTAGGAGCCGATTGTGCTGCTGCTATATTATTGCGGTATTTACTGTTGAAAAAGCTGAAAGAGAATTTTCCATTACATTAATACATAATTTATTTAAAATGTTCTACTTTAAACTTTAATCTTAAAGTTTATTAATGGATGTAAGTAGAAATTATAGTATTTATCTGTCTGATTGTGCATAGATATTATGAGCATGTATATTTATGACAGATAGTATTTACGAATGAATATACCTTTGTTTGTCACCTGGTTGTGGCTGGGGAGATTGTATGAAGGGATTAAATGTATGACTAGTGGCTTGAGGTTTTTGGTAATTTTGTGGTTGTTGTGCTTGATTAATGGGTGGTTTTTGTAATGTTGTTGAAAATCTTTGATTTGGATTATGTTGTTGCTGTTGGTTTTGCTGAAGTGGTGGTCGTTTCTTGTTCGGTGCCAAATTATTGATTGGGGTGGTACCCAAACCCCAACCATGCAATTCATTGGCATCATTATTTGAGTGCGGTTTAAATGAATTTGTTTTGTCATCAATATGTGCAACACGATTTATATCGCTAATGAAGCTGTGTATGTGAAATGAAAACAGAGAATGGAATAATATGCAGTGAATAAACGTGTATAAATAAACTAATTAATAACTTACTCTGAACCCAAACCGGGACCCGAATTTGCCCAGCCCGTTTCAAAGTGTTCATGTGATGGTGGTCCATAACTTTCGTGTATGGGAGCTCCATGCAAATACGCCGACACATGTCCCTTGGGTGGATGTGTGTATATAATTTCTGGTATGTGAGAATTTTCCGCACTATGCCAAGCAGGTACAACCTAAAATGAATGTGAAAAGTTAGAATTTATTACTTTGACTTGTTTTCAAATATTTTCTTGTTTTTTATCTTTGTGGATACAATTTTTGTCTAAATTTTTCTTTTTTTCAATTTATATGGTTTTTTATTACTTTTTGTTGTTTGTGAAATTTGATTAATATCATGAAGTTTTGCGCTTGTGTTTGCATTTAAGAACAAAATATTTATTGTCAATTTATCTGTGAGTGTGGTAAGGAAATCATATACTCATATGATGTATGGTTTTTTTTATTAGAATTCGTTTCCAGTTTTTTTCTTCTTTTATTTTATGACTTTCTTAAACATATGGTTGTTAAAGACAGAGATGGGTATATGGTGGCACCATTTTTTTTGTGGAATAAGCAAGAAAGATTCTAAATATAAACAAAGCCGTTAAGAATTTATTTTTTTGCGTTCCCTAGGTAATACAATGCCATTACTGGTAAGTTAAACTTGGCAAGAGTACATACGACATGAATTGCCTAGAAGTAGAAGAGTATTTACTGTAATGCACATAACATAACAGTATTTATTAGATTTCATAAATATTTGCCTTCTATTCTGAAAACTTGTTGAAATTTTTCTAATATTTTAAAATCACGTTTTATTAATTTGCCCTTCAAATATGTCTTAATTTATGGGTGGATGTATTATGGTGGTTAATATAACGTTGCTGAAGTACTAGAATACAAATTCTTTCTGATTTATAAATTCTTTTTCAAAAATTACCTCTTCCCTGGCAGCATAATAATTTATTTGATCCTTTATGTTATTTTGTTTATTGCTCTTCGTTTAATACATAAATGTAGAAGATTTTTCTTATATCATTTTTTATTGCCTTTTTTTTTTGATTTCAGTCATATGGTTTCCATTACTTGTTTTTTCAAAATTTATTTTTAAACGTCTGTTTGTCTGCAATTTTTTTGGTTTATTTGATGTTTAATACAGAAATAAATTTTCAATGGTTTAAAAATTTGTTGAACTAACATAAATACAACGACCAACAAAAATAAAAGTAAATCCTTTTTAACACTTTTTTATGTAGAACAAACAATGTTTATTATATATCTAAATAAAATTTAATAATAAATTATTGCCATAAATGTAAAATTATATACATATTTGTTTATAAATCAATTAATTTTTAAATACTTTAATATCGCTTGATGCTTTTTATGATGTTGATTTGGATATGATTTCATATCAGTTGTTAAGGAAACATTAATTTAATAATCAAAATACACACAAATATGTATACAATACATGTTGTTTTGTAAATACATACATATGTACATATTTTAACCAAATATAATTTTTTTATTTCCTTTTCAGGTAATTGTTTCTGTTAATTTTCAATTTTAAATGAAATTCAGAAGGACAAAATAAATACGAACTCAAATCGATCTGTAGTGGTTTCAGAAGTACGGTAAGTACTGCTTTCCTTCAACAAAGCACAAAATACTCCATTCAAGTACTGATCCGTTAAGTACTTGAGATAAAAGTGATTTAAGAATGTAAACGATTGAATTAATCCTAAAACAGGCTTGATTTGAGCTTGATTCGTATATGATTTTAGAATTAAGAACATTTTAGGAAAAAAAAAATATTTAAATTACTAATTAACATTTAAACACACCTATTTAATATGGTAATAAAATTAAAAAAAAACTCAACTTTTTATAGCCAAAATATTCTTAACTAAATGAGAATTATATGCTACGATGCGAATGATATCATTTTTTGAGATTAAAAAAATATCCAAGTATAACTCGCTTAAAAATAGATTTGCATATTCAATAATCGATTTGTTTAATCAATTCTGATGTGTAATTATTTTAAGAATTAATAATTGTTTTAAGTAATAAAATTGTTGTTAAATTTTTAAGTACGTTTTATTTGAGAAAAATAAACTTAAATTTTCTGTGCAATATAAATTCATAAAATGTTCATATTTTAAATCTGATGCAATAAAAATAGATTCATTTTAGGAGAAAGCAACAACCACGTTTTAAATAAAAGTTTAATATATGTTGGTTTTATTTTGTTATTGGTATTTTAATATCCAATCACTATTTGTTCTGAGAACTAACACGAAATAATATCAGATAACTGAATAAAATCACACCGCAAAATTTCAAAACAATAAACGTAAAATTATACGAATAGAAAAATAGTATTTTGCGGTGTTACGATGATGCTGTCGTATTTATATTATTTATTTAGAAAAGCCGATGGGATCCTAAATACTATAACATTCAATACAATAACATCAAAAATAATGTGCTTGGGCCGGACGATAATTGTGGTCGACATCGTTAATATCTAGACGTATTCCTTCTTTGTATAAATACTATGAAGAGTTCAGCGCTATATGTGGGACCAAAATCACTGAAATCTCTACAAACATTACGGAATATTTCTTCAATCGAAATGCATGTCAGACATGTGGCAACGCTCGCAACCGATGGCCTCTTATCTCTAGGAGAATTAACTAATGGAGTATGTAGGTCAAGTCATATAACGGTTACAAACATTAGAAGTACGCGATCGAAAATCAGACACTGAACCATGGAGAACAACCATGGAAATATAGTGTTACACGGATGGATCGAAGCTGAGAGACAGAATTGGCATATCTATATTGAAAACGCGGAAATCGAAATATATTACCAGATCATCCCGTTCCCCCGACAATCCATTCTTCGCCGATTTTCAACTCAGCAACACCGACTTTAAAAGTGTCGCTGGTACACCAACAAGGTCATCAGACCATAACATTTCCAAGCGTATACGGAATGAACCCGGAACATGCCGTAACACGGTCTAATCCCGGAACAACGCTGGGCAGTTGCATAGCTTCTTAGATGTTACAGAAGCATCACGTTCTTTTTACAACCACAGCGGTATGGCCTCTGTTGATTCGGCGACAACACCTAGAAATCGAATAGATAGAAGTACGAATCCATCTAATAAGCTAAAGAAAAGTTTTTACTCCATTACCAAACACCCCACTGTTTCCTACGACACATTCATAGGAAAAACATCGAACATTCATTTGGTATCAACTCATTCCCGAAATTTAGCTCCAGAGTCCCCTGAGAGGTTTTTGATTTCACTGTGGCAATAACTGAACTTATTTCAAAATAATTACTTTACTGTGCATTAGTCGCGTCTTTTGGTTTTAACCAGAACTATAACTTGGTTAACACAAAGTACGAAACTTTACCCTGCGGGCTACTAGTAAGATCGCTAGTCAAACGATTCTCCCAGTTTATAGCACCAAGGTTCACTAAAATAAACTGTATAAAAATTAGCGGAAAACACGAGCAACACCGGGTATAAATAACTTATGTACATATATAATAATTCTTTATTATGTTTTTATATTTGTATGTAGAGCCCGGATTAGGCCAGAACACATAAAAGGGGACTTTCTGGTACTCTTTCGTTCTACAAAAGGTACTTTTTGTATTTTCTCTAATATTAAAACTAGAAACATGAAATTTAGCATGTAGAACCTTGATTAGGTAAGAACCTAGAAAAGGGGACTTTTTGTTACTTTTTCGTTCTACAAAAGGCACTTTTTGAATTTTCTATAATATTGAACTTAGAAACATGAAATTAAGTATTTAGAGCCTGGATTAGGCCAGTACCTTTTGGTACTTTTTCGTTCTACAAAAGGTAATTTTTGAACTTTCTATAATATTGAACCTAGAAACATGAAATTAAATATTTAGCCCCTGAACACATAAAAGTGGACTTTTTGGTACTTTTTCGTTCTACGAAAGGTATATTTTGAATTTTCTATGATATTGAACCTAGAAACATAAAATTTAGCATGTAGGGCCTTGATTAGGTGAGAACCTATAAAAGAAGACTTTTTGGTACTTTTTCGTACTTCAAGAGGTACTTTTTAAAAAACATGAAATTAAGTATGTAGAGCCTGGATTAAGTGGGAACCCATAAAAGGGGACTTTTTGAAATTTCTATAATGTTGAACCTAGAAACATGAAATTAAGTATGTAGAGTCTGAATTAAGTGAGAACCCATAACAGGAAACTTTTTGGTACTTTTTCGTTCTTCGAAAGGTACTTTTTGAGTTAAAACGTATAAAATGGGACTTTTTGGCACTTTTTCAGTCTTCAAAAGGCACTTTTTTAATTTTCTATAATATTGAATCTAGAAACATGTAATTAAGTATGAAGAGCCCGGATTATGTGAAAACATATTAAGGGGCACTTTTTGGTACTTTTTCGGTTCTTCAAAAGGTATTTTTTGAATTTTTTATAATATTGAACTCAGAAACATGAAATTGCATGTAGATCCTGGATTATGTCAGAACCTTTAAAAGAGTACTTTTTGGTACTTTGTCGTTCTTCAAAGGGTACTTTTTGAATTTTCTATAATATTGAACATAGAAATATAAAATTATGCATGTAGAGCACGGGTTAAGTGAGAACCCAAAAAGGGGACTTTTTGGTACCATACCGTATTACAATTGGTATTTTTTGTAATAAAATTCGTACTGACTTTTTTTAACACATTATGGTGAAGGGTATATAAGATTTGGCACAGCCCAATATAGAACTCTTACTTGTTTTCCTTTATATTCTCTAAATATTCTCTATTTAATGGAAAATTATTTCTGTATACAAATCTAAATGGCAATGAAATTATAATGTCAATGAAAAATTCCCAAGTACGATTATGATTTTGTTCAACAATAGTTTCATTGCGGAAATTTCAACAAATCCCTAAGCTCAAAAAATATGTACATACGTTGGTAGAATATTTTAATAAACAATTATTTACGATTTGAAATAGAAAACACAAACAATTTCAATTTAACGGTTTCACTTTCATTCACATTATAACCAATTCATAATCAAATTTCACTTTCATTGAGTCGGTTTTGTTATTGTATTCCGTTTCCATGTCTATGTTTATCTAAATCGATTAAAAAAAAAAAAAAAAAACTACCGCTGATGCTTAATCAAAAGCAAGCACTTCCCAAATAAAATTCATGTATAAATCTGTAATTGATGACTCACCGTATGATGATGATTAATATGATGATGGTGATGATGATATTTAGTCGAATGATACGTCTGTTGATAGTATGAACACAATTTGAAGAGATGCGATAGAGCAGGAAACAAAAATAGTAAAAATTTCAAAAGTAATTTTTTGGCAGCACCAACACCAATCACCAGTGGCAATAGCCAAAACAGTTTAATTTTAATGATTTTGATTATGAGCACCAAAGCCAAGAATGACAGCAACAATTTACTTTTTAAGAATTTTTCTAAAAGAATAATTAATTTTTTTTTGATTAAGTTGGAATAAATTTAAAATTTAGTTGTTGGTTTTTTTTATTATTATTATTCAGTTTAAACCAACATTATTCCTACTCACGTATTTTCTTCATTAAAATTTTTCCCGCCAAACGTGCTTCCGATTGTTGTTTTGGTATCAATTCCAATTTAGCTATGACCCCATTGCCCTCTATCGCTTGTGGTGATATACGAAATGTTGCACCATCGAACATCATTTCGGGTAGTTTTAATTCTATATCATGTGTCATTGCAAATTTAATACTTTTACCATACAAAGCATTTGTCACTTCCTCGATGGGTGTTTCGGCCACAGTTGGAATATCTGTAATGAAGATTAATAGGATTGAAAAATGAAAAATATAGTCATGAAAAGGAAAAATAGTTGAAATGATTTATTATCTTTTTCCTATTGTTGAAATGTTAAAGAATTTCTTTGTTTTTGTTTATAAAACACGTGACAACTTTAACTCAGTTTCTATCGAGTTCAAAGGTCAAACTGTTTAATGTTTTTTTTTTTTTTTTTTTACAAGAGTTATCAGAATTTGAACTATTTAATGTATAGAGATAGACAAATACATATATTGTAGGAAAAAATAATTATGATGCTTATCTATTTAATCGATTGAGGATTGAATTTTGAGTCGATATTACTATGACTGTTATACGTCCATATTAACTTCTAGGAGAGAAAAAAACAATTTCCTCGTGATCCGATTTTTTTTTTTAATTTTTAGATTTATACTAAAATATCGAGCACCACGACCGCCTGATATCGATCCCTCAAAAATCACTAGATCAAACATTTAATAAAACCTTCTGGACTTTTTGGATTGTTTTTATATCCCCTCTCTTTCAAAGTACTGATTTCTGGTGGTTTCATTTATCATACAACAAATAGACTTAAATAAAATCACTTCATCTGTATTCCACATCCATCACAATGTTTTTGTTTATACATCTGTCAGTCAGTCGGTCTTATTGTCTACAGTTTTAGCAAGATTTTTAAACATAAACAATAAAAAAACATAGTAAGTTTATCATACCAGTATTTTGTATTTAAATTTGTTTAAAATACCATTTTCTTCCTCTTCTAGCTCATTTCCTAATCTTTTTTTTCTTCAATGGCTCCAATTTGATTTTGATGATGTACATGTCTCTGTTTCGGTTTCAATTGTTTTCTTTTCTTTTGTTTTGAAAGTAAAAGTCTGTTTTGTCTGTTTATTTGTTGTAAAACAAAACTTTGTGATTTATAAAGAATAATAATAAATTGTTTATATTGTTGTTATGTAGGTATATATTTTGCAAAGCAAATCATTTAAAAAAGACGTCATTTCGTCGCCGCCTTTGTTATAATTTATAATTGAATTTACGTTTATATTTCTTTTGTCTGTCAATTAAAATCTGATTGGCATTAAATAGGGTTTTTAATTAGGAATTTAGGTGTAAGAGACAAGTTAACTTAATTTTGTTGTTTTTAATAAGAAAACTTTAGGAGGGATTAATCATGTGCCTTAGGATGGCCCCGTTTGTATGGAGAAAAAACAAGATACCGATATATGCACTGAAAATTATATTTATTGGAAGTTACTATTTCAGAAAATGGGGTAGGGTTCTATAGTTGAAACGAAAAGTCGACTTTTCGACTTTTTCCATTTTATGAAAAGTCGATTTATCGAGTTTTTAAATTTTATGAAAAGTCGATTTTTCGACTTTTTTTCATTAAGTTAAAAGTCGACTTTTCGACTTTAAGTATTTTTCCGACTTTTCTCGACTTTTTTCGACTTTTTCCGACTTTTCGATTTTTTTCGACTTTTTGACTATTTTCGACTTCTTTCGAGTTTTTAACTTTTTACCAATTTTTTTTAAATTTTCGACAACTTTTGACTTTTTTCTACTATTTTCAAATTTTCGACTTTTTCCGACTTTTTCCGACTTTCTTCTACTTTTCGACTTATCGACTTTTTTCGAATTTTCGACTTTTATTTACAAAGTCGACTTTTTGACTTTTTTCATAGACAATAGTAGAGTTATCGACTTTTTTGGAACAAAATAGTCGACTTCGACTTTTCGACAAAAAGTCGATTGTTCGATTATTCGAAAGTCGATTTATAGAACCCTAGTTTGGGGTCAATATTTGGTTAACTGGGTTAGAAGATAAAAAGGTCCATCATTGTTTCCAATAAATTGTTTTTTTATTTTTTTTCAAAATGGGCCTTTTTTTTGCTCAAAACAAAGCTTATACAGTTTCCATTAAGGGCTTTATAGTCCCATAATGGGATTTTAACTGAAAAATAAGATTTTTTCAACATTTGGTATTTAATTTTTCCCTATTTTTTCAAAATTAACTTTTTTGTTGTGTTTTTTTTTCTCAAGAAAAAAGGGGAAATTTAAGTGCAAAATATTGAAAAAAAATTTAAATTTAAATTTCCTTAAAAATTTAAAAAAAATTAAAAAAAAAAAAATAAAACAATGAAGAAATAGCTACTTGAACTCCTTTGGACAATGGTGGTTATTGGTGTTTAATTGATCCTAGACCCCATAAAAGAAAGCGTTAAAAAATTACTTACTTTAATGATCATAACTAGCGAAAAATACCAGTACAGAGATCCCATATTTAATTTTTTGAGGAGCATATTTAATCCTACCCTCATATAAGATTCCCTTTAAAAACTACTTTAATGATGAAAATCAAAATCAACAATTTTTATTAGAAGAAAAAAATCTCAAATGTTTATGGGGATCGATCTATAAACGACCCTATCCGACTTCAGATAATTAATTAAATTAATTAAATCTCTTGCAAATTTTATAAGGATTGGTCCATATTGACACCATTTTATAAGGATTGGTCCATATTGAAAACCGACTTTTAAAAATGAGCCAAAAACCTTATTCAAGATTTTATGCGGATCGGTTCATACATATAACCATCCTCTATATAACCCCCCTTTCAGAAAATAAATTTATTCTCACATAACAAACTATCACTTTTGACATTTTAATTTCAAATTAATTTTTTTCAAATTAAATACAAACGCAACATTAGTAAATTTGCACTAAAATAATTGGATTTTTTGTGCAAAAAAAAGTATGTCTTGCATGATTATTTATTTAATACCGTTTGTGTAATTAAGCTATTTGCGTGCTAAAGATACAATTTTTATTATTCATTTGAAAAGTTAACAAAGTGTTTAATTAAAGTTGTGATAAAAGGAATGAAAATGTAATTTTATGCAAAGCTATTTGATTTTCAGCTTTTTTAATTTGATCATTTTGACAAATAAAACATTTAAGAAAGTATAATCGGGCATGGTCGAACATGTGTTACTCTACACCACTTATGAGTAGATTTAAAATGTGATTTATTTTCTATGTTAAACTTTACGTTAATATGGAAGAAAAATACATTTTCCAAAATATGAGATTAGAACAAATATGGCCCCAACAGGGGTTTATATATTTACCGACCGCCAGAAGGCAATTAGGAAAATTGCTATCAAACGTGGTAAGCTCACTATTGACAATGGATTGTGAGCTAACCACGTTTTTTAACTTTTAGACAACGGATGTGTATAAAATTTAGATTGCGACAACGAATTGTTGACAACGTTGCGTTGTCAACATTACATAATGTTGTCGTACGTATGTAACGGATGTTATTAAAAAATTTGGTGTCGGTTTGGAACCAGTCGTGTATATTTTTTTCCCTCTGTGTACATAATACTCTCCCCTCTCTAGTGGTGTAGCGTACAAATTACACTAATTACCATCAATCATGATTTAACTGTTTTTAAAAAAATCTATTTTATATTTCGGTTATAAAAAAAGAAAAATTCAAAAAAATCCAATATACATTAGGCACGTTATATATAAGTTTAATATTGTTAAACGAAATAAATTTTCACACGCAAGATTTAATGATTTCATTTATTTTTTTCGGTGCCTATAACACATTTTTTACAAATTAAAATTTAGCTACAAAAGGCTTTAGCAAAATGTATTAAAATATATAAATCTTTAAAAATTTTGATATACGAGAAATGTCAGACATCTAAACATACAGACACAGCACACTCAGTCAGTCAGTTAGTCTGCCAGTCAGACAACGATGAAGATGATGTGCAAGTAATCAGCAAAAAATAATAACTTGTAACAAACTGAAGATGATTTTTTGAAAAGTTTATAAAGTGAAAGTTAAATTTAATAACAATAAGAAAGAATTTGTAAATAAATATAAATATTTTAAAATAAATATTGATCATGTTTATTAGCGTAATAAAATAATCATAAATGTTAAACTATTGAATAATTTGAATTTTTAAGTGTTTAATAAAAAATAAAGCTTTTGTGTGAGGAACTGTTTTGGTCGAATTTTCTACGTTAAAATTAAGAGATCTCGAATATTTTATTGCATAATATTGAAGATTTTTTCGCCCTAGATACGAGTATATTGAACATAATTATGAACTTAAAAGCCCTACACAAAGGAAAAAAGAAATATACACGCCTGGTAGCAAACTGACACCAAAGTGTTTATAATTTTTCAATAACATCCGTTGTCAAAGTATATACATACGTATGACAACACTATGTAATGTTAAAAAGTCAACGTTGTCAACATTGCAAGAATTCGTTGTCGAAATCTAAATTTTATTCACATCCGTTGTCTAAATGTTAACAAACGCGGTAAGCTCTCTATTGGCAATGGATTGTTTGTATATACTTTGACAACGGATGTTATTGAAAAATTATAAACAGTTTGGTGTCAATTTGGTACCAGGCGTATATATTTCTTTTTCCCTCTATGTACTCGAGGGGTTCAGTTGTATGGGGACTAGGTCAAATATTGGACCGATGTTACGCATTTTCAATAGGATTCGTCTCTAGTATAATAGAAGATCGCAAGCAAATTTTAATTGAATTATCTTCAAAATTGCAACCTGTAATTTAATTACAAGGTTTACATGGACATGGACTCAGAAAATGATTCTAAACCGATTGGTATATTTTAAGGTGGGACCAATACTATTGTGCGTTACAAATTTCAGCACAAACCCAATATACCCTCCCCACTAAAGTGGTGTAGGGTATAAAAAGGAACTTATATATTATATCACCACGTGTTATCATGAATCGCTTCCCTTAATCGTCGATTGCTTCCATACCTATACTAAAGATGGTAGAAAAATATAAGACTAATTTCTCCTTTAGGATTAAAGATGAAGCAGAAATATTAGCGATTAAGAGGGTGGCGAATTGGCTGAGGTACTATTGGGATATCATATTCTATACTGATAGTCAAACTGCTATCAGAACCCTAATAGGTATGTCAATCTACATCTAAACATCTGTATTAACGACGGGAGTTTACGAACGTAACTGCGAGACATTTAATTCTCTTAAGAGCAATAATACTGCTGATATATTGACGTGAGCTGGTACCATGATGGCTGAAACAGACATACAATGGTGTTGCGTTCCCCTGTCAGACATTTAAAAACATATTTCTCAAGATCAATTTTCACACAAGTATACCCAATCGAGTACTAGAATTTTATAAAGACTATTTTCTAGGTCATCATAGATCGAATTCAAATTTTGAAAGTTGTTAAAATGAATACCTAAAAAGTATTCGCTAAACACCTGATCTATGTGATTTATTCATTTTTTATCCAGAAAAGATATTGTTCTGCAGTATATGTATATAGTGAAAATCGAACTAAACTATCCGACAGAGCAATTGTAGGTCGCACCATGTCCAATCTTTAATAGAAAATTTGATCTTTTGGAACCATTTGAAATCACTTTATGTGGTATCAGTAGGATAAGAAACTGGTTCTTTCAACAAATCTAAATTCAAAACTAAACTCTTTTTAATACCTGCCATATAGCTCATAACGTTTCAAGTGTTTTTTCTAAAAATAAACAAACAAAAATAGAATTTGTTCTACTCACCTGTAAACGAACGACTATTACGTGCATATGGTATTTCATTTTCCTTTATATCATTTTCTTCCTCAGCTGCCACATTCTCCATCGAATCCACAGCCAATGATGATTGTGTTGTGGGTGTTGGTACATCCTCCGCTTCCTCAACATCATATTGATATGAATTGTCATTTTTATAGAATTTCAATCTTTGCGTAACATTGACATCCTGAGCATCTAAGACATCGTTTAAATAATAATAGACATTCTTTTGGAAACAGGAAAACGTTGGTCGTCTGTAACAGTCTTGTATGATGCCAGACCAAAGATTGTTGTCGGCCGTAAAACGTTTGGCGAAACGTAAAAATATTGAATCTTCGGCTGTATTGTATTTGGTTTTAAATTTCTTTTGTGATCTCGATGACGAACTGGTGGTATTAGAGGTGGAGTTGGTGGTGGTGGGACTGCTGTTTGTGGTATTGTCGAACCATAAAGATTCATTGTTCGCCATAATTGGTGCAAATGTTGATGTTTGAGTGTCTACAACACCACCATCAGTGCTAACATTAGAGTTGTCATTAAGAAGATGTAGATGATGGTGATAGTGGAGTGTTGTTAATGGTATTGTTGTGGCGGTTATATTGAAATCGTCAGCAGTAGCAACATCATCAACATTATTATTGAAATTGTCATCCGCTTTTGCTAGTGACATAGAATTTTCTATAATTGCTAATAACACAATTATGGTTGTTAACAAACTCCAACTTTGTTTGTTGCTATTGTTAATGTGCTGATGTTGTTGTTGTCGTTGCTGGTGTTCTTGTCTACATTTCGTTTTAAATAGACTTAAACTTCTTAACCATGTCGCCGTTGTATTTTTTGATGTCCTACTGTGCTTATTTCTTAAAATACAATTGATTCTATTCTTTTCTTGAAATGATTGATTTAAAAAATCTGGTAAAAGTTGTTGCTTCTGCTGCTGCTGAAGATGATTCGCAGAACAATATTCGCTTTGTAGATTCATTGTGTTGGTTTTCTTTAGGTTGTTGTTATTGAGATTTTTTTGTCTTTCAGTTTTAACTGAATTTAAATTTTGTTCAAGTTTTTTATACATTTTTGTATTTATGTTTCCGTTTTAATATTTATTGATTTTTGTTATTTTATTAATGTCTCGTTTAGTTTTTAGCACATTTTGTTTAAATTTCTCTCTTATAATTTTTGTTCTTAATTCTAAAATCTGCAAGTAGAAAGATGTAAGACTATGAATTTTGCCGTTTTTCAAGATTTTTTTGTCAACGTTTAACCGGTTAAACTAATTTAAAGAAATTTTCCATCGTTTATTATTTCACTTTAAGTTTTATATTGATTTTCACTTTTATTTATTTATTTTTTTTTTTTGTTTATTTAAAGTTTTAAGTTTAAAAGTTTGATTTGTTTTTAAATATTTTTTATGCAAATTTTGTATTTAACCCTCAATTATGTCATACGAATAATTTAATTATTTATTTATGTGATTATTAATTAAACTTTTAATTGATTATTCCAAGAATTTGATATACCTATGTAAATGTACTTATTTTTTTTAAGTTTTTGTATATATACTGCCTTATTCATAAACATTTATCAAAGGTTTATAGTACAAATTTTGTATGAAAATTTGATTTATAAACCTTTGATAAAAGTTTATGAATAAGACCCATAATGTATAGGATAATTTTAATTTTAATGATTTAATACATCAGTAATGAGTTCATATAAATTTGTGTCGAATTGTTTTACACACTATTAGAATAGTTTTTACCTATACTAAGATATTAGAGCGGTTATGTGAGTTTGAATTGTTATCCCCTTATTCACAAACAACATTTTTATTTTATAAAAGGTTTATAAAACAAAATTTCCATACAAAGTCTAATTTATAAACTGTTTATAAAATAAAAATTTTGTTTGTAAATAAGGGGGTTAATATTTAATTTCGAAAGTATGTAATAAAAATAGACGTGTGACATACTTTAAAGATTCATAGTATGACACTTTTGCTAACAAGAATAGTATAATATAATAATACCAAGGTTTGGTTATCTCTGGTCTCATCTATCTCGAACTTTATGGAGTATTTAGCCTGTGTTTATACTGAAAATTATGAAATATCTATCTCCAATTCCATACGATTGTATGTGACATTCGCACGCCTTCAAAGTGGTATAGATTTTGTAAAATTAGGAGTACTTGTAAAACCAATTTTATCATTCTGTTCCATTTAAAGAATACTATATTTACAAAAGGAATCATCCTATTCGGAACCTTGTTTTCCAAAATATGGATTAAAATATGGCGATATCATACGTGACAAAATACGGAAGTGTTTTTAAAGCACATGTAAATATTTACGAAAATCTGCGAATTCTGTAGGTGTATCTTTTATGTTTTAATTTCTTACACTATGGGACATATTTTTCATTAGTAATCCACAATTTTTGAATAAAAAAAAATTAATATAATTTTATAATAAACATTTTTAAATATCGTACGTAACACATCGTATGTGACAGATTTTTCTCCTGATTGTTTTTAGGTAATAAAATATATATTTTAGAAGTATTTGCATACACACACTTCAACAAATCAAAACGAGTAGGAAAGTGCAGTCGGACATGGCCGACCTATATACATGTTTAAGCAATTTATAGATAAAAATAAAAAACTGGAGTTATATGGCGTCTAGGGTCAAATATAGACCGATCCTCATAAAATTCTAGGGTGTAATTTTAATTCATATACAACTTAGTTGGTCCAATCGTTATGAAAATCGGCATAAAGGTTTAGGCTTATAGACATTTTAGATCTACCGATTTTTGAAGGGATAGTATTATAATTAACAGAATTATGAGCTAAAAAGTGATATTTGAGGGTCCGTTTGTATGACGGCGAGGTGTAAAAAAAGACCGATTTCAAAAATTTTCAACAGTCTTCATCTTTGGTGCTACAAAGGATCACATTCCAATGTTGAATTATCTTCAAAAATGTAGAAGTTATAAGGGTTTTATTTTTTTTCAGTCGTGTTTTACCTTTTCATGGAATTGCCCATATGTATATAAATATGAATGTGTGTTTGTTTGTATGTTTGTTTGGACTTTATAGACTGCTAAACTCAGAGTTTTCCTGTATGTGTGGATATAGTTTCTTCCAGACATACAGGCTACTTTGTATTTCGATATTTCAAGTGGATGGGGTGCCACGCCCACATACAAAATAAATATTAAAAGTCACATATCTCAAAAAGTGCAAAAAGTAGAGCATTAAAGTTTTGTATGGACATCTTAGACATCCACATAAATATATGGGGATAGTATGGGTGGCCTAGCTCTAATAGGCGTGGCACATCCCAATTAAAGAAAATCTTAAATTTGTATGTATGAGAAAAAAAAAATAGTTAGATTTTTCGAATTTCGTTTATTTATGTAGAAAGTGGGCGGACTAGCATTAGGGGGCGTGACACCTCCCATATGAATTAAATACAAAAATTTGGTTATTTTGGATACTATTAGGGCTAGATACATACGATTTTTCACTCTAGCGTTCATGTGAACATCTGGAAGGAAAATGGGCTGACTTTAATAAGGGGGAATGGAACCTCGCACATGAGTTTTAAGAAAAAAGGGGGAATGCGTTTATTTGGAAAACTATTAGAGCTATAATATTCTAATTTTCCACGAAGAACTCTAGCGTCCATATGAATATTTGAGGCGAATGGGCGGACTTTAATTAGGGGTTTTGGAAGCTCCCACATGAATTAAAAAAAATCGTATATCTAAGAAACTTTTAAAGGAAAATCCTCAAATTTTGCAAGAACAACTTTGACATCAATGTGAAGATTTGTGTGGTAATTTAGCAGACTAGGAAAATGTATGTTCTAAATTCTCTGTTCAACCAAAATCTTATAACCGCACTACTGACATATTTCGTGGCCCGAAGTAGCAGCCCTTTAACCGAAATTCTCTTTTGCCGATTTGAGTTTCAACAGCCAAGCGGCCTCTCCAATAACCGGAACAGTACAAGTCTTCCGAGTAACTCGTTTTAGTGAAGATGCGGGAAGTATATTAAGATAACATGCTCTGAGAGGATTTTGAGTTCGTGTTTAGCCCTATAGAAAAGTCATACATTTATGATCAATATAATCTGGCAAAGTCAATAAATTATTAAAATTTTATAATCATTCAGCGATAGTTTATGGCAAAATTGTGTTCAGCGATGAAGCTCTTTTTCGGTTTAACAGGTTTGTTTACAGACAAGAAGATTTTTCCGGATGAGGTTCAATAGGACTTGTGTATTAGCTTTAAAGGTTACTATTTTACTAATAATAATTGACGCCTATATGGCCAGCAGGCCGATGCTATGTATTGATCTTTCGAATACTTTTTTTTAGAAAAATTTACTTTTTTGTGTTTTGAGGTTATGTAATATTTTAGTACATTTATGATATGATTTAATTCTTTATTACAAAAATCACGTAAGACCTAAAAAGTTTTCTGAAAATAGTTGTTCAATTTTTTCTTCAAATACCTGATAAATGTGATCGAAGCTAAAGATTTCCAAAAGAAGGCCTTGTAAGAGTTCTTCAGTTAATTATGGACTAAGACAAACTGATTCACTCGTATAGAGTTTAGGGCTAATTACACAGGCCAATAAAGTGTAGTGTATACTCTGCAAATGGCTCAGAGTTTTGAGATATCGAGTCTTTAAATATGAAATACTCCGTGTCCTGCCATATTTGGGAGTTTTTTAAAGCACGAACAGACATAGATAATGACTAATTAAACCCATAAATAACATTGAAAAGTAAGGGGTTAAAATGCTAAAATTTACTTACACAATAGCATTTTAAGTCATCGGGTTTGACATTGGAGGCAAGTACTTACCACTTACAATGTCAACAAATAGGGAGTTAGGTAAGTACTTACTACGATCGCCTGCAAATAGGGAGTAAAATAAGTGGTTTGGTTTCTGAGAAAACAATAATTGTTTACGAGAATACGCCCACTGCCTCAATTCACGAAAAAATATATATTTTTTCGTTTGTGTTAAAAACAATGTTCGAAAACAATATGTCAAGGCTGAAAAGTAAGTACTTACGTAATACATTATTTGTAAGTTATTACCAGACCCTCTGTAAGTAATGCAGACGGTATGTATTAGTCGTTGAAAAGAAAGTTGTTGAGTTAGTACAAGTCATTACCATGTCTTTACTGGGAAATTATAATATAAGAACTAAAAAATGTTCCCTGTAGTACATATATGAACAAAAATGTATAGATGCTTCAGTGAAAGTCCCTGCTTTACAAAAAAACTATTTTAGTCCTAAACACCTAAAAACCACCTTTAAATATTGATTTTCAAATGCGACATCACACCGCAAAGATCAAATTAAAATTTGTATAGTTTTTCTAAAAACATAATCACCACAATCTTTAGGTTCAGAAACCTTTAAACCGATCATAAATGAAATGGCAAAGTAACCGCCCAAACACGGCACTTAACTTTCCATTTCACCAAAATGTAAACACTTCAAATTGACTGCAGATAAACATGCACATTTCGTTTTTATTGTTGCCTTTTCTGTTGCAAAAATTGCTAAAAAAAAGTATTTAGGTCAGTTGTTAATACAAAGAACTGATACCATTGATGGGTTCCAGTTTAAAATTGAAAGTATTCACAGTTGTTTTCTTTGTTGTTTTTTTTTAAGAAAAACTTTCATTTAGTAAATATATTTTTGATTTTTTTTATATATGTTTTCATAATTATATTTTTAAATAATTTACACATTTTATTTGTTTGTGAATAAACAACAAACAGATGCTTGAGTTTTTTCTTCTTCTTCTTAAATTAAAGACAACTTCACATCAACACACCTACAAAATTCACGCTTATTTAGCGTTGGTCAACATTTTTTCTAACACTTTCACAAAAAATATTTTTTGTTTATTTGAGTTTATACAATTAGGTTGGGTTTTTTTATTAATTTTTGGCTTTATTTACTTTTTTTAATGACTTTTGTTTTTAATTAATTTTCTTTTTATTTTTTGTACATATTTTTGTCACCACTTCTTTGTTGACTTTAAAACAAACATGCGTTTAACTGCGTATCTTGGTAACAACTAAACACGACAAGATCATGGCCAACATACCAAGCTTAACAAAATGTTCAAATATTTCACAAAAACATACAAGACAGACCAGAAACTGGAATATTACAAATAAATTTCATATATTGAAGCTATTGTTGAAGCTGTTTTATTTCGTTTTCTTTTCTCAGTTAAAAATTAACCAAATCCAAAAAATTTCTGTAAATAAAATTGCAGCAGAGTTTTATTTGCGTTACTTCAGCCGTTAAAACGTTGTGCTTTCTTTATAAACTAGTGACAAACTGATGCTGTTAACACGGCACACATCTGGTAGTGATCTTGTTGTAAATTGCTTACTCACTGTACGACACTGTCTGTAATACTTGACTGCAATTCAATACACTGAATCTCTTTCACTATAAAAATCCATCGCAATATGCTAAACGAAAAGAAAGTCCATACAATCTCAAGTAGCTTAGTAAAGAAATGCTTTCGTTAAGTTTATTTACATTGAGAAAAGAGTGTTCGAAGAGAATGAGAAAGTCGGCTAAAGAGTGTTATTGTTGTACAAGTGTCGTTAAGTTGTTGGCTGTTGGTTTTGTAATAAACTTGTTTAAACATTTTTGATAAATATTAGATTTGTTTATGTTTGAGTTGTTACAAGAAATGCCTAAAGAGAATTATGTTTAAAACAAGCATTAGTACTCAATTTATAAAGCGATAATATATATGATTATATAACGAACTTGAAAGCTTTGAGCCCAACATCCATAATCCCTTAAGAATAGATTTTTTACTCCCAAATCAAACCATTCGGTTGCTAAAACGAATGGATATATTTCGAAAAATGCTTAAGGTCATTCATGCAGTAGTTATATATTATTTGTGACTTAACTGAAACGTACTAGGGGATGTAAACAACCGGTCTCTTTCATCCTCATGTGAGAGATCAAGTATACCGCCATGTATTCCAATCATTTTGTTGCTAAGGTCGCGGATTAGTTAACAAAATAATCGGTCTTATGTTCGAAGCAGGTCTAATAGGAATTGAGGGAAGTACGGAGGGTATTTCTGACTATTTGGATACGATACCTTCAATAGTGATTCCTAGTAGGGGCGAATGGATTGGGTCCGAAGTACTGTTTGAAGGGTGTGCAGTCTTTACTGACGGATCCAAAATGGAATCTGGTACTGGGGCCGGAGTTTATCTGATTGATGATAACATAAGAGTGTCCTATAGACTTCCGGTCGAATGTAGCGTCTTCCAGGCGGAGATCTTGGCGATCTGGAAAGCCGGGGACATCATTAAGACACACATTACTAGGAGGTTGGTATGATTGATAGATAAAGCACTACAATGTCACATGTTACGTTCTAGAATCATTAGTCAGGTTATACACAGTGAGTCTGTGTTGGCTACCGGGATATTGTGAAACGGGATCTCAGATGAATTGCCCAGACAGAGCTTGATCTTATAGGGATTGTTCTGTAAAAACCCCTATCTGTTATTACTATAGACTAATTTTTAAAAAATTCAATTGGATTGCAGGGTTTCTAGAGCACTATGGCCGAAATTAAACCCAAAATCAACCAGAATACTATTAGGAATGGACACCCAATAAGCATTTTTGCTGGAATTCAAGTGTAAATCAAATTTAATTCCAGTCAAACATTCAAATTTGAAGTGTTGAAATACACTTGCATTACACTTTAATTCAATAGCATTCTCCAGTGAAAAGGAAACTTGAATTCAAGTCGAACATTATAATGTTACTACAGTTTAATTCAAGGCTTGTATAACATTACAACTCGAATAGAAAAAATGCTTAAATTCAATCTTTGAAATACAGTTTAATTCAAACCTTGAATTTTAATGTAATTCCTATCGAAAAAATAATTACATTCAAGCACCTATAATATACATATATGTATATATATTTATGTACATATGTATTAGCTGTAGGTGTAACATACTGCCACATATCTTAAAATTTAACAGACATAATTAAGACATTTATTAATAATAAATAAGAAATGAATGAGGACAAAATTACATACATATTTATACATTTTACATGGCAAAAACTTGTATAAAACATAATTTACAGGATCTCTCTGTTTCTTTAACATTGCAAATAAATCAGCAAAGATCTTGAAAGAACGCATCAACCAGAAATGTTTGCATTATTCTATATACATTCGTGCCTATATCAAAGAACATTTTCTACATTAATCCCGTTTTGGGTTGGTTTAATCTGCATACATGCCTTTTATTGCAATTGGATTCATTGATTTTTATAAATTCTGACACCAACATTTGCTGTTCTATTTTGTTGCATTGAAGTAAAAATATGAACATTTTTATTATTAATATTTTTAATTTATTATTATTGAAGTAAAAATATGAACATTTTTATTAATAATATTTTTAATTTATTTTCAAGTTTGACAAGAAAATTTGGTTTGAAAACATTATTTGACTTTACTTGAAAATAAAACTGGAATTAAAATTGAATTATAATTAAATTTCAAGCACTGCTAAATAAAATTAACTTGATTTTTTAATATTTAAATTATTTCATATATTTATGTAACACAAAATTATGTTAACAACAAAGTATTACTAAAAAAAATATGTAAATTTAAATATTAAAATTTTTAATAAATTTACTTAAAATAATGCAATGATATACATACATGTGTATATGTATGTAAACAAGTCTTTTAATTGTTTGCAAATATTAATTATAAGTAAAAATTTAAAGTAAAGTTTAGAAACATTTAGAATATATTGCAACAATTTAAAATGATTTCTTTGTTTTTTGCCGTGTCGATTTTTTGCTTGCTGGAAAAACGTTATAACTACTTTTTCAAATTGTGATTCGCTGTGATCGGCAAATTTTTGGCGGTAAGCAACTGAAATATTTGTAAATGTAGTCGAAAATCCCACATCCAAAATATCAAATTTAAATAAATAGGTACCTTTAACTGCTAACATAGTTGAAATTTTTTTTTATCTCGATTTATCTTTGGAACCTTGCCAACAAAACTGTTTAGTAACATCATCTTCTACTGATTCTGGTATACTAGTTTCTCAAAATTTTCTTCTGAATCTTGAATTTTTGCCTCAAACTTAATAAAATCTTCTTTTATTGCATATGAAGTTTTAGCTAAATTAATTTTCAATTCATTACTTCGTTGATGGTGTTGTTTTGAAAAAGCGTTTCATTTTGAGGTAGATTACTTACATTTTGTTTAACTTGCTAATTTTGAATCGAGTCGTTGCCTTGCGAGCGTTTAGCAAAAATTAACAATTTTTTCTGCATTTAATTTATTTCTTCTTACTATAATTTTTGATTGAAACTTTCGACGGTGTATTTTTTAATCTATATTTTTTACTTTATTTTATTAATTGTTTTTTGCTTTCACGGTTTAAATCTTGGAAAATCACAAAATTAATAATTTTTTTGACAATAAAAATTAAGTTTGAATAAAACTTTAAATATTTTTCAACATTTTTTACTTGAAAATATTTGAAAAATAAGCTGGAATTTAAGTTGAATTTCAATTAAAACACAAGCACTTGAATTTTAATTTTTTGATTGCTTATTGGGCAGGAAAAGTATAAAAACTTTAGTAGGGGTAATAACTGCTCACTGAGCAATTGGGGCCTTTAGGGATAATTGAGTTGTGGAAAATGAACTGGAAACAGTAGGTCATATCTTATGCAGCTGTCCAAGAGTACAGAATCTGAGGTAGAAGACTCCATGATGAACTGGGAGATGTAGCAGGGTGTGACTTAGGCGACATAATAGGTTTCATCAGGGAATATATTGGTTATTTAGGTGAAGGATAATGGAGATTTCCCTTCCATTTTCTTTCTGTAATCCTCTATGGGGGAAATTCTTACTCTTCTCACTTTTTCTCTCTCTATCACTCTCTTGCTTTTCTGTCTTCTCTCTAATATTCTTGTTCTTTATTCTTCATTAAAGGGAATCACAATGGACCCTCTGGGTCTCCAAGTGAAGGTATACCTGGGTATACAACCCTTTTAAACTAAACTAATCGATCATATTTCGACATATTACCGCTTACTAATTATTAATTATAGCTTGGCTTTGGTGCATTTTGCATTCCATTAAAAAGTATCTTTCATAGTCAACCAAAATAAGTAGTTATTCACCCAAAATGTAAGGACTACCAATTTGCTCTGATATAATTTACCTGCTTAATGGGTAAATACCGTTGTTTTTAATAAAGCTCAGAGTTGCTAAAAACCACATAAACCTCGAAATGGTATGTACATCATATATGTATTTCAAACATTTTGTTGAACGTAATATACCCAATTGATTTGTACTTTATTTTTTTATGTCGGTATTAGAGAGTCTTAACATTTACTTTATTTGTTATTATGATGTTTTAACAGATGTTTTTGTTTAAAATAAATCAGAAGATAATAAATTGTGGAAAAAAATCTATAATTTTTTTTTGATAAAAAACATATGCCTCTGTACTAAGTGTAATAATCTGGCACTACGTGAACCCGCAGTACTTGTTCTGTTATAGTAAGTGGTGAGGTCCCTAAGTGGTTCACGTAAAAAGGATTTGTTAAACCACATTGAAGGAAGAGAATGTTTGTTTAAGTTTGGCATGACGTTACGATACACCAAAAAGTGTTATAGTGTCCATTGACAATATGACACTTTTAAAAGTGATATGGAAACTAGGGTTATAACTTTTATACAATTTTTGAAAACTTCAACTTCAATCGCTAATCCAGATATAATTGCTGCTAACTTCGGTGATATTGAATTTTTGTTTCTTTTAAATAAGTATCATGTTAAACCGGACTTTGGGAGTACGCTATATTTTAACTCTGGGGTGTCTCGATAACAGGCTTACTGAAATTATTAGGATTATTTGTGAATTTATGTCCATGGCTATTATGGCACATTAAAAGTTACATATGTAATTTGGGCTTCCGAGGGTACTGTTTTCAAACTGTCCTACTACAGAACTCAAGTCTGGTGTGTCCGGCTATCACCGGCTTTCCTAAATTAAGCTCTGACAAAATTTTAAGTTCATATTATGATCTGACAATATTGTTAGATTTAATATTTTCATACACGATATAGTGATTATTAGTTGTGCTATAAACATATATGTACATACATATGTATATGGTATATAACATAATTGATGTCGAAACAAAAAAGTACAAATTTCATCGATTTACAACGTTAGGCATTAATTTCAGAGAGACAACTAACCTATAATATTATC